GAGGAAGACCTTTCTCTCTGTCTCCCTCTCTCACTGTCTAACTCTGCCTGTACAAAAAAAAAAAAAAAAAACAAAAAAAAACAAACAAACAAACAAAAAAAACCACACACACACACACAAAAACAAACAAACAAACAAAACAAAAACAAAGGGAGAATCTTCTGGATTGTCTGGTGGGCCCAAAATGCAGTCATGGCTGCCCTGTAAGAGACATGGGGAGGTGTGGCTGCAGGGGAAGAAGGGGGTGTGGCCACGGACACAGGATGCTCTGCCCACAGCCTTGAGGGGCGGGGAGGCCACAAGCCATGAGGCCAAGGAGCGCTGTCCCAGAAGCCGGAGGAGGCACAACAACGGATCCCCCTGCAGGCTACCAGACACAGCCCTGCCGACACCCCGACCTGGCTCCAGCCCGGGCCGTGAGGACATGGTGTGGCAGCCACCAAGTCTATGGCTACAACCATGCCCAGGGGTCTGCATTGTACTGACCCCCCTTCCCTGGAGGCTGTGGTGTGGAGGGCCAGGCACTCTGTTCTATGGGGAGCACTGTTCCCAGCTGCTTCTGACTCACGACCACTCTCTGAGGGCCGAAGAATGCGGTCAGAGTGCAGAAACACCTGCTTCCCCCGCCCGGCTCCTCCTGCAGGTGAGAAGACTGGGCCTAGGCAGCTCCGTAGGAGGCCGGAGGCTGGGGGAGGCTTTCATCCACTCTGTCTTTATAGGCTTCCAAATTCCATTTGGAGCTTTTAACATGAGTGATCATGCAGACTGTCAATAGCTTTGCAATAATTCCATAATGACCCGATCGTGAGATGATTTAGCAATCCCGCTCCTAATTGCATTTGTGGATATAGCAATTGGGTAACTAGTTGGTTATTACTCATTCCCCAAGAGCCATCCATATTGCATTACAAGGAAGCTAATCTTAGTAATACGTGTTAACTTCTATGATAATCACTAAGTAATTGGCTAGAACACGCCATTGTGCATTTATCCAGAATACGCCGGGGAATTATCTGGTCTTATGTTCCCTGTAAAATAAATCCAGGGTCCAAAAAATTGTTCCAGTTGGTTGGCTAGGGTCCAACCATCGACCTCTGCCAGGCAATCGTGCAAATGCAAGTGATTAATCAAATTATTCAAATATTTAGTTTCCAAGTGGACATTCGGATGAGGAACTCAACTGGCCAACAAGTGGACGGTGCTGAACGGGAGAGAGGGGTGCACAGAGCCCCTCCCTCAGATAAATATATAACAACACAATAATACAGCATAAATGCCACTTCTCCGGGCTCATCTGGCATCCTCACACAAAATACCAAAACACTTCAAAGACCAATTACATGTCCCAAAGCTGCAGAGTCTTTATGCGGTGCCAGGAAAAGGCTGGGCTATTTGTGAAATCTGTAGGCTGTTATGGCGCTTGGGGAGAGGGGCTCAGGATTCAGCTTATAATAGAAGAGGGCCGCGAATGCAGCTGGCTTGAAGGCTGAGCAACACATTTTCATAATGGCCACTCGTTTTTCAAGGATGGCTGCTAACCGGGGCTGTTCGCTTCCAATTAGCCAGCCTGTGGGGGAGTGGGCAAAGCGGGTACCTGGGCTCCGGGCGTAACGCTGAAAAAGTTAAAGAACAGGGAGGCAGGAGGCCAGACGGGAAGTGAGGCAGTAGATTCCGGGTTTCTAACTGGGGGATGTAAAAGAGAGTGGGGTCAACAGGCCAAGAGGTGAGGAACAGATCGGAGAGAAAGTTAGGGAAATGGTTAAGGCAGGAGCGAAGGGAGAAAGGCCTGAGGGGGGGTTGGGGGGAAGACCACCTTCCAACCAGACTGGTGCATCCCAGGTAAAGCACTACTGACTGCCGGCTGAGAGGAGACGTTCCACGCTGGCTGGGACAGGGAGAGGAAAGGGTTTTGGTGCGGTAGATGTCAGAGTGCCCACGGATGTCTCTCCCTGCGCCGATATCCTGGCCATGGGACAGCGCCGAGCCTTCCATCCAGAGGTAGAGGCTGCTTCCCCAGGCCATGATTCGACTTCACCGCGTGAGTCACTTCGGCCAACGAGCCACAAGCAGAGATGTGAAAAGCCTTGACCTCTTACTGTACCTGGGATTCTGAGACCACCCCGGGATGAGAGGCCACGCTGAGCAGGACCGAGGCACACCAGCTGAGTCTTCAAACCAGCAGACAGGTGAGCAAGGGCATCCAAGACTGCCCCGCCCCACCCACCCACCAGCTGACCACAGCCACCTTCAAGAGCCTAGTGACTGAGGCTGGCTCCGCCCACAAGAACTGTCCACAAGACAGAGGCAAACCACTGCTGTTTGGAGGGTAGCTTATGACTCAACAGAAGCGCCCCGAGCTTACACTGCTCAATCAGTACAGCTTTAGTCCCTAAATTTTATCTGGGATAACCACTTGAGAGCCACTGTGGACTATGCAGACTTGAGACTGCCCCTTTTAATCCTTGTTTAAGGAGGGATGAATCATTTGCAAACATTCACCACTCAACACATGCGCTCCAGTCAACCCACCACCGGCAGCATCGACGGATGGTGACAGGCAATAATGCAACCTCTACCCATCACCATGCTCTTAGATGCAAACTCAAGGAGGTCTTGCCTCTCAAGGAAACACATTAAAGGCACATATCTCCACTGAGCTCACAGCTCCTACCGTGGTACCGCCCGAGAGGTGAGACTTGCAACTTTGGAAGCATGTTGCTTGCATGGAGTAAAGGAACTCCTACTGGCATACAACATACAGGTCACATCAAGAACACAGGTGCTCTGGCCAGGTATGATGTAACAAGGAGTAGATGCCACCAACACACACCCAAGTATTGTTGTACAACTCTTCAGCCAAAACCAAAGCCAATTTTTTTCTAATTCCCCAAATTACCAGGCAAGGTTAGAGACAGTAAGCCCAAGAAAGCCACTATTATCTGCCATTTGTTGTTTGTTTGTTCACTTATGAGACAGGAAGAGAAACAGAGCATTCTCATCCACTGGCTCATTCCCCAAATGCCCACAACAGCCAGGGCTGGACCAGACAAAACTGAGAGCTGGGAACTCAATCCAGGTGTCCCAAGTGGGTAACAGAGACCCAACCACTTGGGTCATTGCTACTGCCTCCCAGAGTCTGTGTCAGCAGGAAGCCAGAGCCAAGATTCAAACTCAGGTACTGCGGCGTGAGATGTGGGAATTCTGACCAGTCTCTTACTTACGAGGCCACATGGCTGTCCCTGATATTTCTTGACATTAGGTCTCTATTAACTACCCACTGTGCACCCACAGACCACAGGTTCTGGACATTCAAAACACAGGTGCTAAGGACTGCAAATGCACTTTGCAGCTTTAATGAAAGCAGGGTAACAGTCCCCAGGATCTCAGCTCAGGGGCCCATGGCCCAATGCAGCCCACTTCCTGGTCTTACAGATGAAGTTTTACTGGAACACAGCCAGGTGCATCCATTCATGTATCATCCACCACTGATTTCGCGCAAACTGGCGGAGCAGAGCAGCTGCTATAGAAACGATAGGGGCAGGAGGGCGGGAGTTTGTCTTCATGGTTAGGCCCCACTTGGGACAATCACGTCCCACGTAAGAGCAGCTAGCTTCAAGTCCCAGCTCCACTCCTGATTCGAGCTTCCTGCAATGCACACCCTGGGAGGCAGCAGGTGATGACTGCCTCTTGGTCCCTGCCAGAGATGTGAGGGACCCAGAATGAGCTCCTGGCTGCTGGCTCTGACCTGGCCAAGCCCCAGCTGCTACAGGCATTTGGGGACTAAACCAGTGATAGAAGATTTCTCTATCCTCGTCTCTGTCTCTTTGCCTTTCAGATACAAATAAACAAACAAGAAACTGTATCATCCACAGTGCAGGGAGTATGTGCCACTGGGACCCTTTCATTAAAAGACCCCTTGCTTTGACAGAACCACTCATGTCACACATGGAGAAAGTGAGTCTCAGAGATGAGTTCACACTGCAGTCCCAACTTCTCCAACTCCGCGTTCAGTGCTCTCTCTAGACACTGCTTAGCTAGAGGTTTTTGTTTTTAAATTAATCTTTTAAAAAAGATTTACGTTTTATTTTTATTTGAAAGAGTTAGAGAGGGGGAGTCTTCCATTTGCTGGTTCACTCTCCAAGTGGCCACAATGGCTGGAGCTGAGCCAATCTGGAGCCAGGAGCTTCTTCTGGGTCTCCCAAGTGGGTGCAGGGGCCCAAGGACTTGGGCCATCTTCTGCTGCTTCCCCAAGCACATTAGCAAGGAGCTGGATCAGAAGTGGAGCAGCCAGGACTTGAACCAGTGCCCATGTGAGATGCCAGCACCACAGTACCGGCCCCGCTAAAGAGTTTCAAAATCAAAAGTATTCTGTAGAACCATAAACCTTAAAATCCTGGAAGTGAACTGCATGGTATGGCTGGAGACATTCTATGAGGATACTTCCCAGTGTTCACAGAGAATGAAGTTATAAGATTATTTTGGTGTAAAAAATGTTGAAATCCATGCATACAAGAATCTTTAAAAAGTTCACGGCAGGGGAGGGGGCATCTATACAACTGTTAATACACCACTTGGAATGCTCGCAGGCCATACTGGAGTACGTGGTTCAAGTCCTGGCTCCTCCAGTTCCAGTCTGGCTTCCTGCTAATGTGCACCCTTGCAGGTGACAGGTGATGGCCCAATGACTTGCCACCCACATGGGAGACCTCGATTGAATTCCTGACTCCTGGCTTTGGCCTGGCCTTAGTCCTGGCTCTGGCAGGCATTTGGGGGAATAAACCACAGGATGGCAGACCTCTCTCTCCCTCTGACACTCTGCCTTGCCAATAAATATATACACAAATAAGCAAATCTTGAAAACAAAAGTGCATGGAAGTGCACATTGTGAAAGAACTACGCGCCAAACTGAAGTTGTCTTAATTGCACTCTTCCATGAACTCCCTGAAATCCCTCCTGCTGGCCAGAACAGAGGCAGAGCTCTGCGCTCCCCAAGCACTGACCTGGTGATGATGGCCAGGTGGGGTGGGCTCATGCAGGCGCCCATGAACAGCACCACGTTCTCGTGCCGCGTCTGCCTGTAGGCCATCACCTCCCGCTTGAAGGCCTTGAGCTGGTCCTCGTTGTCCCGCTCGATGTCGATCAGCCTGATGGCCACCTCGCCGTGCCAGCGGCCGTGGTACACCTGCCCGAAGCGGCCCTTCCCGATGAGCTCGCCGACCTCCAGCTGCTCAAAGGGAATGTCCCACTCCTGTAGGAAGATGCTGGTCTGGCTGGCCTTGCGCGGGAAGCTCCGGGCCGAGAGGAGGGACAGGTTCATCTCCTCGAAGTCATCCTCCGACTCCTCGGCGTCATCGCGGCCCTCTTCGTTCTGTGGCCGAGGCGGAGAGAGGTCAGAGCTGTTGCTGCTGCCCGCCCTTTGCCCAGGGTCCCGCTGAGTGCCCATGCACGTGGAGGCCTGGACCCGCCTCTCCGTGCGCTGGCAGCTGCTGCGGACGTAGACAAGGGGTCTTTGGAAAGACGATGAGTGCAGCCCCCTGGTGTTTTCTGCACCATGATAAACTGATCTTTTAATTCTGTTTTCTGTGAGCTTTCAGAAACCCCCCTTGTGTACCTGTTTCCCTGGGGAGCTCTGGCCCCCACTCACAACAGCGTGGAGGCAGACGGCAAGATCACGCTAGTCCCCCTCTCGTGTGTTAAGGGGGAGAAACTGAGGCGCACAGCGAGTGCACTGCTATGGGACTGCCTGGACTTTCCTGGTTGTAGCACCGGGAGTCCTACGTCTCAGGCGCACCCTGACTGGGACGGCTGGTCACCACGGGAAGTGCCCTGATGTCGGTCAGGCAGAGGGACTAAGGTTTGGGTTTCGGTGCTCCTGCTGGTCTACATGCTTGCCTGACTATCCACGTGCAGGTAATAAGGACAGCAGACCGAGGTGTGGCCCACCGCACACCTGTGCGTGACATGCTGGTGACAACCACTGCTTCCCCCTCCCCCCGCTCCGGGAGTTTGGAATTGATGTTTCAGAACCTGGGAGACAGCAGAGGCCCGAGGGTCCCACAGCAGCTGGGAGGGTGGGAGACGAGCGAGTGAGAGGTTACTAGGATGGGCTTCACGGTCAGGTCGTGTGAGCTGGAACACGGCCTCTGTGTGACCTTGGAGAAGCTGCTGCGCCTGCGTGAGCCTGCCTCTCCTCACTGTCAAGTGGAAGGAGTAAGACCTGCCCCTGGGGGCAGAGTGAGGCTTTCCTTGAGATAAAGGCCGGCTCAGTCTGTGCACAGACCCCAGCACCTGCATCTCAGGGGGCGCCTGAGAAAATGCAGACTCCCGAGCCCCACTCGAATCTACTGAACAGAAACATCAGCCGGCCGGGACTGACAATCTGCAGTGGCACCATTCACATCTACCTGGCTCAGGTCCCCTTAGGCGTGACCCCCACTATAGCTACATGCTAACTGCTCAGGGACCAGGGACCCACCTCCCCAGCAGGGCACTGGCACGGGGTCTAGGGGAGACCTGTCCTTGGGGGTGCCCACCTTTGGGATTCTTTTGCCGGAATGTGGGATCAGCAGGTGCCCATGCCAGGGGGATTCCTGGAGGTCCTCGGGCCTGAGCAGGTGACCTCCTGAGAACAGGTCCTCCTGCCTCCAAACCACCCATGCTAGCTGCCTTGTGCGGCCCAGTGGGGACAGTGACACAGGGAACGCGGGCCGCTCGCAGGTTCCTGCTCCAGCCACCTCAGCAGTCCCAGGGGAGGAAGTGCCTTTTCTCTGGGAAGCCTGAATTACTCCTTTCAGTGAGCAGAGTGGAGGGGTGGGCACTGCAGGCTTCTCACCCAGGATACTTCATCGATTCCTCCAGCGGCACGGGCAGAAGCCCCAGACCATTCTGCGTACCCCGAGGGCCCCTCCTCCTCCCACATATTCTTTCGAAGGCAGCGAGGCACAGCACCCTCCACGTCACCCCGCCTTGAGCTAATTTTTCAACTAGGAATGCAAATTTCTCGCCAGCTTCCGCACAACTGGCTTTTCCGTGATGCACGCCATATAATGGCCCATTAGGCTCAGGGCTGGGAGGGGCTGCCGCTGGCTAATCGTCCTGGAGTTTGATCATTCATCAAATAGGGCCACCGCGTCCCCTACCCGCCCCCAGCCCTCTGCGTCACTGCGGACATCAACTGGCTTTGCCGAGTTCTGTGCAGCCCCTGGAAAAAGTTGCTTCGCCGCTGTCCAGTGCTCACCTCCGAGGTTGGCTCCACTTCAATTTGAAGTAATGGATTTCCTTCCAAGCTTTAAAGAAAGAAAAATAAATGTGACCCACAGGTGAAAAAGTAGGCCCAGGTGTCGAGCTTAGCTGTGGACGAACAACCCCCGAATGGGAGTTCTCAGTACCAAGCCTTTATTCTGCATTTCATTTCAACACTCGTGTCTCACATAATCCGTAACCTCGCTCAGGGCTCTGTTTTCTTCATTGCTTTGACTGCAACTAATCTTGCAGCTTCCTTATAAACTGGCCTGACTGCCATGGGGGGAAGAGTCGTCAGAGCAATAGGTGTTGGCTAGGAAAGAATTAATTCGATCTGTAAAGTTCGCTCAGATCTGGAATCTCCTGGAAGGATCTTTATGTCTGTCTGTCTGCTCATTCACGATTCGCTCATTCATTCAACAGGTCTACTAGAATAGTATGGGGCGAACAGCACTAGGCTCTTAAAGAAACGTGGACTTGAAACTGACACTGCTCCTGACTTTCAGGAATATTCTATGACTCCTGAAGGGTCCAAAGCAAGTGCGAGCATACTGTGAGCAGAGGCTAAAAGTGGTGAGGGCCAAACGTTGGGGATGCACTGAATTCGTGGACTGTTGCAGACCTTCCAAGGAGAGAGAATTCCTGGATGTGTCTGGGAGTTCAGTGGTTGAACTGGACTCTGGAATCAGGGTAGGTGGGACTGAAAGAGGTGACTGCGCTGGACTGGAAGACGCAGGTGTGAGTGAGTGCAAAGACGAAGGTGTGAGTGTGGAAGACGCAGGTGTGAGTGTGGAAGACGCAGGTGTGAGTGAGTATGCAGTGAACTCAGAGCTCATGAGTCGCAGCTGTGTTCTAGGAAGTGCACATGAGGGGTGCCCTGTGTGCATGTGAGAGCTGCCTGGGTACTATGGGAAAGGCTCCGTGTGGCAGCTGCCACGCAGGCTGGGAGGTGAGGGCTGTGCACCGATGCCACAGCCGGGGATGTACCGAGGTGTGAGGGGCCTGGCATGAGCGCCCTGTGATGGGGCTGTCGGGCACAGTGTGCATCCGAGGGGTGTCTGGGGGCTCTATTTCTGAACTTGGGCGCGGAGTGCAGCAGGGAGGCAGTGACAGGGCTGTGACAGCACAGCAGAGCTGGGGCCACGCCCTCTTCTATGTCCCCAGTGGATGTCAGTGGCTTCTCCCCATCCACCTCTTCATTTGATGGCTCTTTCCCTATCCTGACCCCTCCCCGCTGGCAGACTTCCTGGAGAGGGGGCCTGGCTAGAGACGGGAATGACTACACTGAAGGGCCGCTGTACTGACCAGTTATTTCTAGGCCAGCTGGGGAGGGCCAAATAACCCTGTTCAGTGCAGCGGCTAGGCTGGGGGCCTATGCCCTGGGGGGACTCGGCTGGAGTCCCTTGTCCTGCCTACACCACTGCAGCTGCCCCATTCTCTTTACATCAAGAAGTGATTCCAGCAGCCCGGGCTACTCGATCATTCCTCTCTGCAGAGTGAGTTCCCATCACTCCATGCACGTTTAAGCCGATCGCGAGCAGCTATTGATTTTGGTTCTCACGGGCAGTCCTTGGCTGTCAGTTAAGGACCTGGAGTTTGTCTTGCACAAATTGTGGGATCGCTGTATATGTGCAGCAGAGAAGTGATCGGGGGCTCCATGTCCTCACAGGATCCCCTGGCAAGCTGCTGCTTGTCTGATTTCAGAGATGTGTCTTTTGGGTCTTTAACAAAGTCCATAACAGAGACGGGGAAGGACAGAGCATTGGGGGCGCCAGATGGAAAACCAAGTAGGGTAAAATGAGAGTTGGGAAAGTGGTCAGATCCTAAGTGTGTCCCAGACTTTGGTTACCACCTAAGGAATTAAGGTGCACAACCAGCAGACCACTTGGAAGAGGGTCTGTGCCTCAGGATGCTACACATGGAGGTGTTCAGTGCAGTGTGGTTTACAACAGTGCAACCCGGGAAGCAGTGTAGCATCCAGCAAGTGAGAAATGGCTAAAGAAATTATTCTGCATCAACACAACACTTGACAGTCATGAAAAACCAACGTCTAGGAAGAATCTAGAATACCAGGAAAACTGCAACGGAATAGCATGAAAGACAAAGAGAGAATGCATTGACTGTGGATCACAGCTTAGCCAAATACGAGCAGGAAGAGCACACAGACGTTCTCACAGGTCCAGGACAGCGAGCCAGTCTTTTCCCCCTCCTTCTTCACAGGATAGTTCAAGTTTTCCAAAATTAGCTTACATTAGCTTTGTAATGGGATAAATCAGAGGTCAGCACATTTTTTGCCTGACAGTAAATACATTTGTTTACGCCTTTGTGGGCCATGCGATTTCCATGACAACCACTCAACTCTGGTGCTGACTGAGAAAACAAGCCAGCGGCAACATGGTGCTGCAGTAAGACTCGATTTATCAAAGTAGGCGGCAGGCTGGATTGGTCCCGTGGGCTATGCTCTGCTGATCCCTGGTAGAACCCTCAATCACAGGTTCTGAAAGGGGGACAGTAACGTGGGCTGCCCTTTCATGAAGCTTCAGCTATGGCCTGGGTCTGGGGATCCTAAGGAAATAGTCTGCCCCCCCACCCCACCCCCAGAGGCACAGGGCCAGAGACATGAGGCAGAGCCGCCTCCCAGGACATGCTGTTCTCCTCCTGGGCTGCGGGGTCCCTTCTCTTCATCAGAGTCATCCCTACGTCCTTCTGTCCCCCGTGTGCTTGTCCTGCTGCTTCTCACCTCTCCAACTCCAGGAAGAGGAAGAAAGAAGACAAGGAAGGTGTGCGGCCCAAAGGGCCAGGCTCAGAAGCTCTGGGTGGGGGGGGAGGTCTCCATCCCACTTACATTGGATTTGAGGTCACCGGATGCAGGATGACCTGGGGTGCCCGGGTTGGCGTCTCCGGCACTGGCACCACATCTGAGGGGCAGGGAGAGAGAGTGAACAGTCAGAAACCAAATGTGGAGTGCACAGGCAACCCCAGAGGCCCGACTCCTGGCAGGCATGGCAGCTAAGAACGGTCACCAGATCACGGGTCCCTGGGCTTGGTCAATGCCCTCTCTCCCATCCTCAACCTCCTGGGCTCTGCCTGCCCAGGTGCATGGTGATCTGGATGGCATCTGATCAGAATACCCCCTGGGCCACTTCAGGGCCCCCAGGACGCCCATGCACGTGGCCAGGAAACATCTATGGGCCGTCTCAGAGTCCTCCTCACTGCCCAGCCTCCTTAGGGATGGTGACCCTGCTGGGTTTCACAGCTTCTCAGTACCCAACCCAAGCCCTCTGGCCATCGCTGCCCTGCCGTGGGGCTCTGGGTCCCCGTTCACTCCTGCCCCTCCTGCCGTGAAAGGCGACCCTCTCACTCTCACCTTCCCCCACTCCCACAGCCAACCGTTATCTGTGCTGTGGGGACTCCACAACCACCCTCTCGGACCCTGTGCACCCCAGCCACATGCCCCTCCTCTCATCCCAGCAACTCCGGCCCCCGGCAGGGTTTGTTCAGATGGGGCTGTTTCCAGCTCACGTGCAACTCACCTGGGAAGATGAACTGCTGCTTGAATTTGTAGTAGTGGGATGCTTGCAAGACAGAGAGAACAGCACGGTGAGTGCGCGCCACCCAGGACCTGCCTCTACAGGCCCAGCTGGGCTCCCACGGCCACCACGGGGCCATTCGCTGTCCACCCACAAGAGTTTCCACAATTTTGCGCACACGCCAGACTACAAGGAGCTGAGTCCATGAGTAAGGAAACCAGAAGGAAAGGATGCCAGCCAATCCTCTCATTTTTGACACCTCACACTCCCCACCGTCAGATCACTCCAGCTCAGAGAGGGGTCCTGAGCACAAAACCATTTCTGGTAATCACACACACACATGCACATGCGCACACACACACACATACACGCACATGCACACACATGCACGCGCGCACACACACACAATGTCTGTAAAGCCATAATTGAAGGTACGAATTTTTTCCCTTTGGGCTCAGTGATTATAGTAGGTTTCTAAAAAGTCTTGTAAGCTTTTCCTGTGTTTTAACATTTTTCTTCCTGCATTAAGCTGTATTAGTTTTCCTTTTGGTCCCTGTAACAGACGGTCACAGATTCAGGGACTGAACACAACACACATCGGTCCTCCGACAGTGGGGAGATCAGGCTTCTCCAAAGAGTCTTAAAGGCCCAGGTCTTAAAGGCAGGCTGCTTCCTTCTCGAGGCTCCAGGGAGAGCCCACACCTGTCTTCCCAGAAGTTCCACCCGCATTCCCTGGCACACAGTCCCCTGACTCCAACTGATTGTGGCCGTGGCTCTGATACTACTTCCACTGCCTCTGACCTTCTGGCTTCACGTTCATGAGGACGTCCGTGACTACATTCAGGGACCACCTGCGGGATCCAAACTGCTCTTTCCACCTTAAGCTCTGTAAATCAGCCATAGCTGCAAAGCTCTGTTACAGGGTGAAGAAGCGCGTTCACAGATTCTGGAACTGTGACATGGACTCCTTGGTGGGTGCGTGGGTGGGTGGGGGAATTATTCTGTCTGCCAAATGAAAGAATTAATTCCTGTTTGTTAGGAAAACAATTACATAAAGGCGATTTCCCAGGCTTCTCTACTGATTCTCTGATAATTCATTTTACTTCCAGCCTACCCACTGCAGACCAAGGGCCTTGGCCACTTGGAAGGCGTCTCAGGTTACACTGACTTCATCAGGGTTCAGTGCCTGAGCAGGGGGCTGGGAGGCATTGGAGCAGGTCCCGCAGAACTTTACATCCCCATGGAAATGAAGTAGCCAGCGATGGCGGCAGGCCTTAGGAGTGAACCTGGGAGGCCACTTCTAGAAGCAATGTGGTCTCATCCAGGAACACGCTAGAACAAGGGGCCCGTCCAGGGATTAGCACGGGGATGGTGGCCAAGAGTGCAGACGCTGACCCTGTAGGGAGTGAATCCTCGCTAGTCTGGGGTGCTTGTAAAAGCTGGAGCAAGTCTCACTGCGCATGCATGCGAGCTGGGAATGACCAAAGCCTCTTCCGAATAGGACTGGGATCATCACTGCAGGAGACCAGAGTGTCTAGGGGGTGTTGAGTAAGTGAGCTCAGCCCTGCGTATCCACGAGTTCACATCTGTAGATTCAACCAACCATGGATCAAAAATCACATCTGTGCTAAACATGTGCTGACTTTTCCTGCCATCATTCCCTAAGCAATACAGCGCAGCAACTATTTATAGAGGCATGGAGGTAACAGAGAGATGGTGTAAGGTGTATGAGATTAGGAATGGAGGTAACAGAGAGATGGTGTAAGGTGTACGAGATTAGGAATGGAGGTAACCGAGAGATGGTGTAAGGGGCACGAGATTAGGAATGGAGGTAACGGAGAGACGATGTAAGGGGCACGAGAGGATCGTGCAGGATCCAGGCAGACCCTGTGCCGTTCTGTACACGGATAAGGGCTGGAGCAGACTTGCATTTGGGAATCCCAGGAAGGTGTGCACCCACTCCCCCTGGATACTGAGATGACTATTCATGGAGAGGAACAAGAAAGCCTTTGGCTAAGCTCCCTTAAGATAAGAACAGTCTATAACTAGGGGACGACTGCATCATGCCATGAACTAAGTCATTTCCTTGGGGGGAGCAGAGCCCATTCCCTCCCATTGAGGCCAGCAGAACGTAGAAGCTCTTTAGAGAGAGAGGAATTCCAGCATCGCAGGATCCCAAACTCCTCGCTCTTACGCCTTCTACCACTGACATCTATCCCACACGTGTGGAACAAATCAACTCTTTTATCAGACATAAAACAAGAGAAGACTCTGGCTCAGTCCAATTCCAGGTCATCTCAAGCAGTTGGGGGTCCAAGCAGACACATTTTTGGTTCAGGAAAACAGGGTGAATGGGACAAGAAGCAACTGATTCCAGGTCGAAGAGAAGCAGCCTCCACGACTCCGGGGCCTTCTCTGCGGATCTAGTGTTTTCCTTGCAAGCAGTCGTTACGGTGGTCAACAAGAGGCTAAAGTTCAACAAAGAAAAACTACTCAGGATTCTCCACAGGCTTGGCCGATCCCTTGTCTGCAACTGGGATTCGGTATCTGCAAGGAAGGCTGGGCGGGGGTTCTGTTCTGTGGAGGAAGAGGAGATGAGCACAGGGAGCGGAGGCGCTCCAGAGAGTCTGCGAAGGGCAGGGCATCAGGCCCTGGGACCCCCGGAGAGTCCGTGAAGGGTGGGGCATCAGGCAGCGGGCCCCCCCCCCCGCCAAATGCCTGCACACCCAGGCCAGCCCCCTCCTCAGCCCCCCTGGGGGCCAGGGAGTGGTTCATTCTTGACCACCACAGGGGAGATGAGTGGCCAGAGTGGAGGAAAGACACCACTGGGAGACCCAGTGCTCTTCCTGCTAAAGGTGGACACCAGCCAGAAGTGGCTCCAGGACCCGCGAAGGGGCTGCGGGGAGCTGGGCGGCTGCTGGCTTTCTCTCAGGGGTGAAGACTCGGGGCCTGGTGCACACAGTGCCACAGGGGTCAACAGGTCACCTGGGAAGAGCTTGCACACTCCGGGGCCCCAAGTCTTCCCCTGAGGATCCCCTAGAGGGCAGCCGGAGCAGTCTTCCAGAAGGAAGGTGGGGGGACCCAGGCACCCTCCGCCTAAGCCCTTCCATCGCATCCCACGGAATCTTAAACAGAATCGAAAGCCCAGCCGGCCTCTCCCCTGCAGCTGTGAGTCTCCACTGGCCGTGTCCCCTTGTCTGTGGCTCCTGGGCCTCCGTCCTATGCCCCGACCTTCAGTGCTCAGCTGCCTCTGACCCCTGCACCTAAACATGTCCTCGCCTGGACTCTGCTCACAGCTTTGCTCTTCCTCTTCGCAGCTCTTGTCACAACTCTTAGCTCTCCTTTCCCATGTGCCAGGGCGCTTCCCAAAGCTCGTGGAAAAATGGAATTGCAGGATACACTTATTTGCGTGAAGAAAAGGGTCTGGAATCCATGCCTACCTTGTATTCTCATCGCATGCAGTCTCCATGATCTTTATGAAGACCCTGTGTACGTTTGCTTGGTTAAAATCTGTCTGCACCACTAAGAGACAAAGTCTGGGCAGGTCATCGGTCACTTCCTGTCTGCCAGAGGGCCCTGCCCTGGTCCCCAAGAACTGTGACTACATCTCCCTACACGGCAAGTGAGACTTGGCAGATGTGAGGGAGGGAAGGTGACGGATGAGCCTGGTTCGTCTGGGTGGGCTTGATGATTTCATGAGAAGAAGGAGGCAGGAGGGTCAGAGAGAGAGAGAGAGAGACAGAGAGAGACAGAGAGACACACACACAGAGACAGACAGAGAGAGGATCATGGGAGCTGAGGATGCTGTGAGGAAGGGCTGCGTAGAAGGAACGTGGGCAGCCCCTAGGACCCAGAAAGGCAAGGAAATGGATTCTCCCCTCGAACCTCACCCTGAGCCACGCCCTGCTGACTCCTTGATTGTAGCCCAGGAAAACCCATTTTGGACTTCCAGCTTCCAGAACTGTAATAAATCTGTGCTGTTTGAAGCCACTGACTTTCGTGATCATTTGTTACAGTGGCAGCAGGAGATGACAAATACGGGGGTTCACGGCTCCGTACCTACTACCCGGTACCCAGGCTGCTACACAGTAGATGCTCAGTAAGTCCCTGTTGACCAAATGGGTGGATGATACAGGCTGAGGGCCATGAGGACAATTTGAGGAAAAAAACCACAGCCGTGGGCAGTGCACAAAGTTCAGGTTGTCCATTCATTCATGCATGCATGCATGCATTCATTCATTCAGCACTTAATCGGTGCCTCTGGCAGCGGGCAGTGGGCAGTGGGCAGTGTGCTGGTCTCTGGGTGCAGAACGAAGGAAGCACACACATTTCCTTGTCTCTGGGAGCTGCCCCTTGGGTGGGGAGGCAGACGCTAAACCAGCGAGGAAGTAGAGAAGACCAAGGCATGGCGTGATGAGAGTAAAAGGGAATTGGGAGAGGGTGGTGTGAGGGGAGGGCTCTGGAAGACAGAAACCATCTCCTGAGCCCACGTGGCCCAACCCAGGCCAGGCTTCAGAAACCCCGCACCGCCTTCCAGCGAGGCCTGGCCCCACGCTGGCTCTGGCAGGACCCCCAGCCCCGCCTCTGTCGCGGCGCACAGGTACCTGGCAGGTTGAAGCTCTTCTGCTGCCTGGTGCACTGCGGGGAGGGGTGCAGGGGAGAAGGCGGCGTGGCGCTGGGGGGGAGGGGAGGTGCTGGCGAGGAGGGCGTGGAGGACGTCGTGGACGAGGGGTTGCTGCTCGAGTCTGGCTGGTAGGGGACAGGGATGTGGTCCTGCAGAACAAACAAACCAACAATAAACAGGGAGCAGAGGCACAGCAGAAAGTGTGCCGAGCCAGGGGGGTCCCGCCCCAGCATCCTCAGTCATCACCCCACTTGGCTACAGGCAGCCATGGAAGCAGCAGTTTTTAGAGTCAAATTCTCGTCCCTGCCTGGACTCCCGAGTGAAAGGTTACCACGTTAATGAAACCAGCGTAGGAGATAGCCACGTGCCCTCCGCCTCTTTGATACCGGAAAACCCTGCGCTGCGGTGCCCAGAGAACTCTTCCCGTCCTAACACCTCTCCTGCTGAGTGTTTATTAAAGAGCCAGCAGCCCTCGGCGTCCGTGCCCACATCTCAATTGGAACCAGCATGGACTCTCCTTGCACCTGGGACCAGGCTCAAACGTGGCCCTGCTTAGGTGTGTTGAAGAGAGCAGTGCAGGGGGTTGAATGGGGTCCCCCCCAAGAGACATGGCCACCAGGAACCTCAGAATCTGATCCTGTTTGGAGAAAGGGTCTCTGAAGATATGAATAAGACAGACATCTTGAGGCCAGATCACTCTGGAACAGGGTGGGCCCTAAATCCAATGACCACGTTTCGGAGAGACAGAGAAGGACACACACAGAGGGAAGCCATGTGCTGGATGGAGTAGGGACTGGGGTGGTGCAGCCGGAAGCCGAGGATCACAGGAGCCCCCAGGAGCTGGGACGGAGGCAAGGACCAGGGTCCCGTTCAGAGCCCCCAGCTGTTGCCGGATGTTCTGATTGCTGATCGCTGGATCTCTGGTCTCCAAAACCACACAAGGATAAACTGCTGCTGTTTTAGCCACACTGTTTGTGATCATTTGTTGTGGCAATGCCAGGAAATCAATACAAGCAGAATCTGGATTCAAATCCCATAGCCACCTCTTTTCCCAGGATTCCTGGGCAAGATGCTCATTTCTTCATTCCTCAGTTTTGTACACTGTAAAAAGGGACTAACAGCATTAGACTACCCAACACAGGCACTGCAATACTGGGACAATGGATTCCATACTCCAGACAGGTACTAAATGGCTAAGAAGTGGGCAGGTAACATATACAGCAGGGATACACTGGACAGAGGGTTGATTGCCACATTCAAAACTTGGGAGCCATTTATTTCTAGAAATTTCTGTCCAGTATTTTCAGACTGAGGTTACCAGGAGTTACTAAAACCACAGCAAACGGAACAGCTCGCTCCACTCTGGTTGTCTGCTCCCCTACTGAACGTGGTAGGCAGAATGCCCCTACCCTACATCAAAGATTTCCAAGCCTTCATCCAGGAATGTGTGACTATGCCACAGAATAGGGTGAGAGGGAGGCTGCACACAGTGAGTTCTTCAGGGATTATGCAGGCGGAGCCAATCTAACCACGGGAACCCAGGAAAGCAGAGAACTTTCTCTGGCTGTGGTCAGAACTGTGCAGCAGGAGCAGGAGTCAGAGAGGGGGAATCAGGAGGGCTCAGCCCCTACTGTGGGAGGCCTGAGAAGGAATGCAGGCGGCACCAGGGGCCAAGGTCAGTCCCAGTGCTCAGGCTCCGAGGAAGTGGGGCCTTCAGTCCACAGCTGCCAGGAACCGAGCGCGCTCAGTTAGAAGTGGACTCAGCCCCGGAGCCAGCAGGAAGGAGCACAGCCCGGCCAGACCTCAGGTGACACAGCACCAGGCACGAGGTCTGTCCCAAGTCCTGGGGTGACACAGCGCCGGGCCCCTCCGACTCTGTCCCCCCAGACCTCGGAGCCCCGGGGCTGGAAGATGATAAACAAGTGCAGTTATAAACCTTGAAGTTGTTTAAAATTTTATCTATGTATTTATGAGAGGGAGCGGGAGATGGGGAGGGAGGGAGAGATATACTGACTTGCTGGTTCATTCCCCAAGTGTCTGTTAGAGCCCAGGCTGGGCCAGGCCAGGAGCCTAGAACTCAATCTAGATCTCCCACATGGGTGCCAGGGATCCCAGTATTTGAGCCATCACCTGCAGCCTCCCAGGTGCTCATTAGCAGGAAGCTGTAATCTGTAGTGAGGCAGGATTCACACCCTCTGATGCGGGATGAGGGTGTCCCAAGTGGCAGCAAGAAAAAATTAATGCATGGATCCTGGAACCTACTGGGAATGTTCCTGCCCCAGGACCTATGCACAAGCAGTTCCCTCTTCCCAAACTGTTCTTCCTGCAGACACACACACAGATCCTTCATTCCTCTCTCCCAATGTCACCTTTGCATGGTGGTCCACCCTTTCTGCCATATTTAAAATCGCAGACCCACCCCAGTTCAGCCTCAACACTCCCCTAACCTGCGCTACTTTCTTGTATTCTCCACAGCATGCATCAGCTTCTGGCTTATACAATGTATAATTATGTTGACTCTCTGCACTCTGGCTCCAGGAGTACAGAGAACATCGCATTTCAGTGCCTAGAACGAGGCTCAGGGCAGACCAGTGGTTAACGGGGAGATTCTGGAGCTGGAGGCTTGGGTTGGAATCCTGTCCTCCACTTACTAGCTGTGTGACCTTAGGTAGGTTAGCCTCTCTGGGGCCCATTCTCCTGGTCTGTAAAAGAGAGACAGTAATAGCATTTATGGCATAAAGGCTGCTGCTCCTCCGCACGCGGAGGAGCCGCACCGGACCGGGCGCTTGTTGTTCCCCTTTTTTTACAAGTCCTTTCTATAGTAAAGTAAGAATGAGTAAACAGCAAACTCCCAAAGCAAGAATGAGTAGAGAGAAATGAGAAAGAACGAAGTAACGAACTTCCCCGCGAACTCTCCAACGCACTCTCCAACCAACCCACACCACCATGCCGTCTCTCTCCTCCTATATAGTCCTCTCCACCAATCCCAACTCGGCTGCCCACACGCCGAGCACGCCGCTCTCCTCCAATCAGGAGCAGCTCCTGCAGCTTGTCAAGTTGGTGAGAGGCAGCTGGGTAGAAGCTGATTACTTCTCTCCCAGCGCCATATTGTGGGAGAGCAGATGCATAGAATAAATCTTAATTCCAGTAACAGTATAGTCCGAATTGCTCCCCACAAAGGCGGCCATGAAGAACAACTCAGTGGTACTCGCGGCATGCGTATAGGGCACTCACAACAGCAGGCAGCACCTGTAAGTGCATATCCGGCTGTTTGTTAAATCAACGAGCACAGGGATAGTCTTGTGTGTGGAGAGCAGACCCTCACCAAGACCAGCTCTCATCACCGTACCCATCCTCTCACCATCACGTCATCATCCGGGAAGGCTGGAATCAAGGCCTACTTATTCCAGCCACACGACCTAGCACCGAGCAGGTGTTCCAGGAATTGCAGAAGGAAGAAAGGAAGGAGGGGTGGGAGAGCTGTGCATCTGCAGGCAAAAGGCCCACTGGTGCTGCCCACAGCATCGAGATCTCTGGGGCCTCCTGCCCTCCCCAGATGGCCAGAGATGTGGGCCAGCGGCAACTCCCTGCAGCCTGGACTTCCCGTCCCTCAACCCAGCTCAGCTGGCCGGCTCCCAGGAGCGTCTTCATCTGTTTCCAGTTGGGAGTGGCCACTGGACCTGGCCACTGCACAGAGGTCTACCCCGCAGGAAGCCCAGGAGGTCAAGAGCAAGTCCGTACAGCCTTTAGATTTGTCAACAGGTGTGTTTACCTGCTGGCCTCCAGGGTGAGCCCAGCCAGCAGCCAGCAGCGTGGAAGGGCAGGGCAGAAGAGGAAACCCAACAGACACCTGGCCTGGAGCCTGCTCCACTCGGCCTGTGGTTCAGCGACCGCCTGCCTGGGAGCTTCAGCCTTCCCTTATCTCCAGCGTGGGCCACAAACACAGATCTGCTGTGCGCTTGAAATGAGCTGTGTGCACCTGCCCTCTTCATATGGCACCGAGGCACACTGCCACCCACAAACGGTCACAGCTATATTGATGACTGTGTTTTTGTACCTGGACTTCCCGGGGTCCTTGCACATTTGCATGTAGTTCTAAGAAATGACTCGGGCCGGCGCCACGGCTCACTAGGCTAATCCTCCGCCTGCGGCGCTGGCACACTGGGTTCTAGTCCCGGTCGGGGTGCCGGATTCTGTCCCGGTTGCCCTTCTTCCAGGCCAGCTCTCTGCTGTGGCCTGGGAAGGCAGTGGAGGATGGCCCAAGTGCTTGGGCCCTGCACCCCATGGGAGACCAGGAGAAGCATCTGGCTCCTGCCATCGGATCAGCGTGGTGCGCCGGCAGCAGTGCGCCAGCCATGGCGGCCATTGGAGGGTGAACCAACGGCAAAAGGAAGACCTTTGTCTCTCTCTCTCTCACTATTCACTCTGCCTGTCAAAAAAAAAAAAAAAAAAAAAAAAAAAGAAAGGACTCGGAGTGCCAGCTATCCTTCCACTGAGAACACCTTAGGGACGGTAGCTCAATGTCACAGTTCTGATACTGGACTGGCCAGCGCCCCTGCCACGGAGGCCCCACGCCCATACCCCCTCCCTCTGCTTCTCACTCTCCCCCAAAACTTCAAGCCCTGGCACCATGAATCTGCATTTGCCATTTCTCTGATTTTATTATTCCATTAACTAGGCAGACTCACATCATGCACAGCCCTTTTGGAGTGGCTTTTTTCACTCATAACCTGTAGAGATTCACCGCAGCTGTTGCACGCTTCAAGCATGTGTTCCTTATTATAGCTGCACAGAATTCTACGACACAGCTGCACTATAGCTGATTTAACTGTGCACCAACTGAAGGACAGCTAAGTTGTTTTGTATTTCCGACTATTGTGAATAAACCTACTATAAACGTTTAGGCATGAGTTTTATGTAAACTTATGTTTTTATTTCTCTGAGATAAATGCCCAGGAGTAAAATTTCTGAATATGTTTGTCATAACATGCTTAGTCTTTAAAGAAAATGCCAGCTCTGTCCTCCGGAGTGGCTGTACCATTTCACCCTCGCAACACATCAGGAAGGACTTCAAAAAGTTCATGGAAAATGGAATTGAAAGATAAGTTACTTTGAGGGAAACATTTTTGAAACCTATGATAGTTGTTTT